GTTTTACTTACAAATTTTGGGAATCTATTATTTACATAATTTATTCTAACTTTAAATCTCCCACCATTTAATAATATAATCCCCTAGCAGGAACCTAAATTTTTCAGTTGAAATTTGCGACATTTTTCTATTACAATCATTTTTCAGGAAAATGGATTTCCCATGTTCACTGGCTGTTATTGCTCTTTCTATAATTAATAGTGTGTGTGTGTGGGGGGAACTTCTGTTTGATGTAATGTAGAACGTTAACATCTTGATTATGCCATTATTTTATCTTCGTGATGCATGTGCTATACATTTTAGTTGTTGCCACTGTTGAAAGTCCTCAAGTGATGCGGCTTCTGTTATTTGTAAAAAAAAAAAAAAAAAAAATTGTGATTCTGTAGTGACAGTCTAGAATGTTCGAAGAAAGATGGTTTGCGCTTCAAAACCATTTTTAACTATTGGTTTGAGAACGCGGCTGTATGCAGCTGACAGTTTAAAAACGTTAGGGTATCTTTTCTTTTTATCATTTCACCCCAAGTAAGGCAATAAAGCCACTAAGTCGCAAAGGATTACTGAGCGCGAAAGAATATGAGAAAAAAAAGAAAGAAAAGCATTATTAAAGCGAGAGAACAGTAACAGAGCAGGAGATAAGACGACTAAAGATAACGATCGAGATTGCATTTAAATTTTTGAAGATGAAAGTTGACTGGAAAGCAAAAAGCCGGAAGAGAGAAGTTCGAGAGAAGAGACTGTTAGTATAAAACTTAGGGTTACATCTAGCCATTTCAATTGTATAATGATGAGATCTAGCTACCAATCTAGTATTTGTAAACTCGAGGTAAGAAAGATTTATTTTTAATATAGTAAAGTGGATAAGATATTTTTTTCCAATTCAGTCTTATATCAATTTATTTTTAAGTATCACTGCAAAACGCCGAATAATCGAAGATTCTCTTGCGCCGATTTTGCAAGTAAAGGAAGCTTAAAAATTATCATTCAAAATTCTTTTTGCGCAAGGGTGATTCAAAATTTGACAAATGGTACAATTAGAAATTACGTAGCTGTTATTCTGGTCTGTATCTTCACTTCTCATATAATTATTTTTAAATTTCCCTGTTTATCTTTACTATTTTTTATAATATTTTATTTATTTTAGTCGTGAGACTGCTTGGCGACTGGGGCCTAAGAACTGTCTTCTTTTCACAAAACTGGTCGGTCCCAGATATTGGCAGTGTGCCAGGTCCTCACGACCGTTCCTACCAATGCAACAGACAGTAATGTCAAGTTTTCGATGGGGGTATTATCGATCGCTATAAGCCCTCGCTTCAACCCTGCAGCCACATTATTTCAGATCTTTCATCCGATACATTTCACCACCCTTCCAGCCAATTTTTTTTTATCGATTCCTTGTCAGTCTCTCCTTTTCTCTGGGTCTTATTTCCTTCTTATCTTATAAAAATGCCTTCTCACGCTTTTCTTTGTTCTTTTATTTGTCTTTACCTCTTTCTTACGCTTTCTCAAATTTTTCAGCATTGCTTCCTTACTTGAATCTTTCTATCATCTTTTTACCTTTTTTCTTAATATCTATATAACGTCTTTTCTTTCTCTTCCACCATTTTTAATTTATTTCTTCTCTCTTTTCTTTGTTTTAGCCTTTACCCTCCTATTTCTACTTTATTTTTCCTGTTTTACTCTCGCATTTTAAAATCCGTTTTTTCACATTCTTCCACTTGTCTCCTTTGGTAACCCACCTTCTTTCCTTCTCTCTCTTTTCCCTGTCTCTCTTTTCTCTGTTTTAGACGTTTCTCTTCTATCTCTCTTAACTTTTTCGTTTTTTTTTTCTCTCATGTTACTATTTCTCTCGTTCTACCACTTGTCTCCTTTGGTAATCTGTCTTGTCTTCTTTTCTATCATTTCTATGTTTCTCCATTTTAAGATATTTATAACTAATCTTTCTCTATTCTTCTTCCTCTTTTTTCTTTTCTACACTTCTTATTGATGTCACCGTATTTTAGTCAATCGTATTTTCTTTAATATTTCTCGCGTTATCTCAGGTTTGGTAGTTCATCTATGCGCCTTCTTCGAACTTTATTTTATCTCCTTTTCGTTTCCTATTCGTCCGCATTTATTTAATTCCTTCATTCATTTTATCGCATTTCTTTCGATTCTTTGTCTGATTTAAAATTCTCTTTCTTTTAATTCGCTCCCCGACTTTTCATTTTCCCCAGATTATCTCGATTTTTCGAGTACCAGCTTTCTTTATTGTTTTAGCTATCGCCCAGTTTTTTGTACATCCCCCTTCTCCTTCTCTTCATATTTATTTCATCTCGTTTTCTCCATCCCTTTTACTTCAAACTATCGTTCTCTCTTTTATTTCTTTCCCCTCAATTGCTCTTTCCCTATCAGTTTAAATTATCCTTTTTTCTTTTATTTCTTTCACCTCAGTTTCTCCCCCTCTCTCTCTCAGCTCATACTTTCTCTTTTTCATCTTTCTCTCTTTTACTTTATCCTCTCGGTTTCCCCCTCCCATCTCAGTTTAATCTGTCCTTCTCTCTCTTTTTTTTATTTCATGTCGGTTTTTTCTCTCTATCAGTTTAGATTATTTTTCTCACTTTTATTCTTTTCCTTTCGGTTTCTCCTTCCCTCTAATTTTAAATTACCCTTCACTCTTTGATATTTTCCTCTCGGATTCTCACTCCCTCTCAGTTTAAACTATACTTCTCTATTTTATTTATCTCCTCATGGTTTCGCCCTTCATCTCAGTTTAAAGTATTTACACATCGTGTTAAACGATTTTAAAAGCCAGCAGACTGCTTTTTAGCGGTTCATAAAATTTCGATCTTAAAAGGTGCATCATCGGTCAATATTGTGCGAAGCAGGACCAACACAGTCTGCATAATGAATAAGATAACGTTGCAAAACCTAAATCTCGCTATAGTCTCGTTGCAGTATCGTTTTTTTTTTTTAAAACTCCGATCAATGAGCAGTAGCTGAGTGCATTCAGGATGCACACTGGCATCATGATATTTAGTTTAATTTCTTTTTTAACATTTGTGTCTGTGTGTTTGTACGGACAATTTTATATAATTTAAATGTCATCTCTCTCTTCCAATTTAATGCCATCTCACAAACTTACAACGAAAGATAGACAGAGAAACAGACAAACATCTGCTTATATAGGTATGCATAGACAGAGAACAGAATAAATAAGAAATATGTAGGTATATCATATTGTTTTGTTGCGCGATTTTACATATTTTTGTGTAGGTTGGAATTCAATTTATTTTTCAATATCATGAAAATTTTAGTTTCATCATTCATGCACTTGAGATGAATATTAATCGTTTTCTGATGGCCTAACTATTTATTTCATCAAATTGTCGGAAAGCTACTCACTTAGACGATCAGCAACCAAACAATATATATGGATTTATTTTTATTAATCTGACAGATTTTATTACATAAACATAATTTTTAGTGGATACCCATAATTAAGTAGACACTCCATTTATTTATTAAACAGTATAGTTATTTATTTTCTTTCATTCCGACCAATAACGAATTCATTTCAAAACACACCTATATATATATATATATATATATATATATAGAGAGAGAGAGAGAGAGAGAGTGAACATTGAAGTCAACACTCAAAGGCAACAAACTCTTTTATGCTAAATGCAATCACCAGGTGGCCTGATGATTGCGTTTAGTATGTAACAGTCTTTCACCTCTGAGTTTTGACTTCAATGTTCACTTTTATATTTACATACGCTCTATCTCTGATATTGATCATGTTATCCCATAAATATACCATACCTTAAACTATATATATATATATATGCGTGTGTGTGTGTGTGCGCCTCTGTATCTCTGTGTGTGCATATGTATGTCTGTGTGTGTGTGTTCCTCTATATCAGTGTGTGTATGTAAAAATTTCAGATAGAGTATATCTGTAAAAGCTCTTTTTTCCGCTTTCCTCATTTAACATTTTATGGCCGATTCTTTGTCGTTTATTACCAAAACAGCCAAAAAATTCGATGCTGAACATTGATTTCTACATTTTTAGACATTCCAAACCTCGATCGCTAAAAATTTCATTTTCTAATAATTGAAACGATTCTGAGTTTGTTCCAAAAATGTAACAGTTCTGGAGAAGAAGCTGCCTGAGTGGAACTTACTCCTTACTAATGGAATATGAAGAGAAAGAGGATGGGTCAACTCAGTGTACGCAGCATGGCGAGTCCTAGCTGTGAAAGTCTGAACTAGTGGAAGTAAGGAATATAGTTCGTCCGAACATCTGCCATGAAAATATAGATACAGTAACGAGAGACAAGTAACTTTTCGTTTGTGGGTAAGTGGTTGTAGGGTCGAAAGGTTTACTCCACCAGGTTTTGTTTGACTCTTACCCCCTTGACATCTCTGGTTTCGATCGCTAGCTTAGTTCACCTGGTCATAGGAGCATGGAAGCCAAATATAAGGTACTTAATCAAGGAGAGGATATGGGCAATTGGTTCAATTATAGGCACAGAATAAAAGCAAAGTGTCTGAAATTTAATTCCAGACTATTCGTCAGTTGGCATCATTAAAAAGGAACAAAAAAAACTTGGAGAAGAGAAAATTTGGTTTGTTTCAAACGTATGAGACTGCAGGCAATCTTATAACTGAAACAATGGCCAGAAAAATTATTACAAAATTCGTACTTCAGATATAAAATACATTATGTTCTGATCGATTGTAGATACAGAAAACAGGCTGACAAGTCGATCGATTTCTGCATTTCTTAACAAAACTTAATTATCAAACACTGAGTGCATGTAGATACGGTATTTTAAAAAATACAAGACATTTAAATATCTTTAGTAAAACTAACGCAGTTTTTAGAAGTCTATAATTAATAAGCATTTTTACAAGCTTATGATTATTAGTGGACATTTATTTTCATTTTTATTTTAATTAATACGAATTTTTAAAAGCCTATGATTAATACAGAGCTTTAGAAGCCTATAATTATTAATGAACGTCTATCTTTATTTTTATACTCTGCATATTTAGAATCCTATAATTAATACGCATATTTAGAAGCCTGTGATTATTACAGAACCTTTAAATTTCTTTTCATAATTAAACCCAATTTTTAGAAGCATATAATTAATACGAAGTTTTCGAAGCCTATGATTATTATTGGATTTTACTTTTTATAATAAATACGCATTTTTAAAAGACTCTACTTTATATGATTATTACTGGACATTTTATGTTTTAAAGATTTAATCCGCATTTTTAGAAGCCTATAATTATTATATATTTTTAGATGGCTATTTACTTGAGTTTTATTTTTTTATAATTAATACCCATTTTTAGAAAACTGTAATTCGTACGCATTTTGCGGTGGCCATTAATGGGTTAAATAGATGAAATGTTACCCATTCACGAATATGCTAAAGATTTTGCTACGGTTCAGCAATGTTGTTTGTTATTTTTTTTTTTACAACATACAAGCAAATTTCTCTTTGTGTGTATCTATTGATTTGTCTTTCTATCGATACAGTCTGTCCAGAACGATACATAGTGGTTGTGGCGCTGCCATCTTGAAATTAGGTAAAAACAAAAAATATTTTGTGTGCGAACTTGTGCAATCGTGTGTAAAAATCTATCGGGTTTCTTTTATGTTTTGTCTGAAAAAAATCTGTATGTTGTTCAAGTTATGATTGACTCGTTTATTTGACTTTTTTTTTTAACTGATTTCATAATTCATCTTTTCAAAAAAAAAAAAAAAAATGCCCGATAACAATAATGGATCGTTTCAGAAATTCAACAAATCGAAAAAATAACGTAAAACCATAACTTACCCGAGGAAGATAAATAAAAAAAAAATAATTCAAAACTTTACTTTCATAGGTGAAAAGAGTTAAAAGAAACCCCCGAAATATAAAAAAATAATAATAAAAAAACAGTAATCCGTCTTATTCAGAAGAGTGTGTTATTAAGAAAAAAGGAAATAATTTTAGTCTTGCCAATTTTCAAAGTTGCTTTGCGCTTTTATCAAAGGATGTTTTCGTCTGGCTGCTGAGAAACACTCGATCTTAAAATATTAAAAACAAAGAATAAGTTCCAAAAAAAAAAAAAAAGAAGGAATATCGGTGCACCGGATGTGAAAAAAACACAAACAAAAAACAAAAAAAACAAAAACAAAACAAAATCGGTAGTAAAGGGTGTTCCAAGAACTTGGACCGATTTTAAATGTGAATTAAGCTTAAGCGTCTAATGATTTTTTTTTTCTTTCAGATTTGGTGAACATTTGGGCGATATTATTTTTTTTACACATAATTGCCATGACTTAAATAACATGATTCAATAGAGAAATAAATAAATTTTCACCAATTACACTGAGTTATTTACAGTTGACTTTGATCTATCTTAATGAAAACCCATTATATGCAAAATAGATAATTAGATACCAAAAGAAAATCTCTTCGATCTCGCCGCAAAAGTCTGCATTGATTTAATTTATATATCATGTCTTCATACCTGTTGGATTACAGCCATATAGCGTTGAATCTCCGGTTCCTATGCGATCAGCAATGTTAAGCAACGTCAACCCTGGTCTGCACCTAGATGGGTGACCGCTTAGGAATACAAGGTGCTGTAAACTTGGGTGGTGTAATGGTATAATTTGGGTTGGGTTCATTATATTCATTTACGAGCAGATATCCTTGGGAAAGATATGAAACCATCTCTTTTTCCTCATCTATGGGTTAATTAGTAAGACTTGTATCACTAAATCCTTGTTATTTCCCAAAACATTCTGACAGTCTAAAAATATTTTCTGGCCTTAAAATGAAAGAATCAGTCAATATGAACCAGATCTGTCCGAAACAGATGAGTAATAGTAATGAGAAAATTAGCCGTTTCCTTATAAATAAACAGTTGGCATTCATTGATCGGAAAGCGTTACTGTTGGTCGAAATTTATAAACTATTTTTCAGTAAAATAGACTTTTCAAATTCACTGTTATCGCTCATCATGACATTTATGGGAGTTTCCTATATATATATATGACTCTTGGAGTCATTGAAAAAAAGAATCGAATCAATTATCAAATCTATACTTTGAGTTACTTTTGCAATGAATGCCAAAAAATTGTGCTGTAGTAATCAAGGCCAAAGGAGGATATTTTGACGGGAGCAAAATTTAATCATAAACTACATTGTTTTCTTTTGGTTATAATAAAATTTCTGATACTTTTTTAACCATTTATAATAATTTTCTATTACTTAAACTACAAAACAACTACTTTTGGGGCCAATCTAAAAACTTATCAGGGGTCGCGTCAAACTTTTGAGCTGTAGTGCATATGCATGTATAAATAAATGTGTGTGTGTTATATTTAAATGTGTGTGTATAAAACAAATAAAAACAAAACAAAATACAAATACTTAGGCTTGAAAGACAAGGAATCAATGTGTATGAGACCAATAACTTATAAGTACTAAATAATGGGAACTAAAAGCG